TCTAAACAAGCGACCACCCAGCCCGAGGGCCTTAATCATGGTGGGTTTTGGTCCTCACACTTGCCCACCCCGAGGAATGTTCTAAACAGGAGGTCTTCGACCAACCTGCCCACCCCAAGGAATGTTCTAAACAAGCGACCACCTAGCCCGAGGGCCATGGTCATGCCCCGAGGAATGTTATAAACAGGATGTCTTCGACCAACCTGCCCACCCCAAGAAAGGTTCTAAACAAGCGACCACCCAGCCCGAGGGCCTTAGTCATGGTGGGTTTTGGTCTTCACACTTGCCCACCCCGAGGAATGATCTAAACAGGAGGTCTTCAACCAACCTGCCCACCCCAAGGAATGTTCTAAACAAGCGACCACCCAACCCGAGGGCCTTAGTCATGGTGGGTTTTGGACTTCACACTTGCCCACCCTGAGGAATGTTCTAAACAGGAGGTCTTCGACCAACCTGCCCACCCCAAGGAATGTTCTAAACAAGCGACCACCCAGCCCGAGGGCCTTGGTCATGGTGGGTTTTGGTCTTCAACTTGCCCACCCCGAGGAATGTTCTAAACAGGAGGTCTTCGACCAACCTGCCCACCCAAGGAATGTTCTAAACAAGCGACCACCCAGCCCGAGGGCCTTATCATGGTGGGTTTTGGTCTTCACACTTGCCCACCCCGAGGAATGTTTTAAACAGGCGGTCTTCGACCAACCTGCCCACCCTAAGGAATGTTCTAAACAAGCGACCACCCAGCCCGAGGGCCTTAGTCATGGTGGGTTTTGGTCTTCACACTTGCCCACACCGAGGAATGTTCTAAACAGGAGGTCTTCAACAAATCTGCCCACCCCAAGGAATGTTCTAAACAAGCGACCACCCAGCCCGAGGGCCTTAGTCATGGTGGGTTTTGGTCTTCACACTTGCCCACCTCGAGGAATGTTCTAAACAGGAGGTCTTCGACTAACCTGCCCACCCCAAGAAATGTTCTAAACAAGCGACCACCAAGCCCGAGGGCCTTAGTCATGGTGGATTTTGGTCTTCACACTTGCCCACCCCGAGGAATGTTCTAAACAGGAGGTCTTCGACCAACCTGCCCACCCCAAGGAATGTTCTAAACAAGCGACCACCTAGCCCGAGGGCCTTAGTCATGGTGGGTTTTGGTCTTCACACTTGCTCATCCCGAGGAATGTTATAAACAGAGGTCTTCGACCAACCAGCCCACGCCAAGGAATGTTCTAAACAAACGACTTTCAAGTCAGACCATACCACATACATCTTGTCATCCAAATTAAACCAACATTCCAAGCAGAAGAAAATGTGCAATGAAGCGGGTAAAATCAGAAAAATCACTGAACTTCATTGACTTTTAGCAAACTTTGCAATCTACATCGTTGTTCGAACTTCCCAGGCTTCTTTAAAAAAAACAAAAATTTTCAAACATAATATTTTTTCAGATTAGCTATGTTCCATGACCTGACAAGTGATCGGCCTTCAGCATCCTTGAGCGAGTACGCTCCTCCTGCGTGCACTCGCTCGACCAGGTATGGCCCTTCCCAATTTGGCTCCAGCTTTCCCACATGCTTGAGTACATCGACATAATATTTTGCAAACTTTGCAATCTACATCGTTGTTCGAACTTCCCAGGCTTCTTTAAAAAAAAAATAAAAATTTGCAAACATAATATTTTTTAGATTAGCTATGTTCCATGACCTGGCAAGTGATCGGCCTTCAGCATCCTTGAGCGAGTACGCTCCTCCTGCGTGCACTCGCTCGACCAGGTATGGCCCTTCCCAATTTGGCTCCAGCTTTCCCACATGCTTGAGTGGAGTCTGTGAATTTTTACCTTTTTGTCATGAGCGGCTCGCATCCTTTGCTTGTACGCCTCCACCCTGATTGCTGCTCTTCCACGCAGCTCCTCGATAGTGTCTAAGGCCGCCATCATCAGATCTTCGTTCTTTTCAGCATTATATGTGCTCGACCTCTAGGAAGATAACTCGATCTCGACCGGCAGCAATGCTTCCATTCCATAAGCTAAACTGAACGGCGTTTCACCTGTGGTCGACCTGGGAGTTGTGCGATCCGCCCAAAGTACAGAACTCTGCTCATCGACCCATGCTCCCGAGGCCTTCTCCAACTTTTTTTTAGCCCATTCAGTATAATTCGATTGGTTACCTCAACCTGGCCGTTAGCTTGCGGATGCGCCACGGAGGCAAAGTGTTGTTCGATTTTCATATTTTCACACCATGCTCGAATCCGGTTCCCATTGAATTGAGTGTCGTTGTCGGAAATCAACACTTTGGGTACACCAAATCGGCAGCAAATGTTATTGTATAGAAATTTAACTACTTTCTCCTCTGTGATCTTCTCCAAGGGCTCGGCCTCCACCCATTTCGTGAAATAATCGACCGCCACTATTAAGAACTTCTTTTGCCCGGTCCCCTGAGGCATCGACCCCACCATGTCGATACCCCACTGGGCAAATGGTAAAGGAGCACTCATCGTTGTCATTGTTTCTGCCAGTTGGTGGATTTGGGGGCCATGCTTTTGGCATTGCAAGCACTTCTTCACCATCGCCTTCGCATCTTCTCTCATCGTCGGCCAAAAATATCCTGCCCTCAAAATCTTCACGACCAAGGCCCCTGATTTACTATGGTCACTGCAGCACCCTTCGTGCATATCTCTCAGCACGTATCGACCTTCTTCCTTAGTAACACAACGCAAATGTGGTCCTCCATATGACCGTTTGTAAAGAATACCTCCATGCTAAAAAAACCTCCTAACCACCTTTATCGCTCCTTCTCTCAGCTCCTCCAAGATTGGGGCCCTCCAATCCTCCACTTCTTCGATCTCCGCCACTTCTGTTTCGACCACACTCTTTTCAAGATGCAATAGAGTGACACTTCTACTCTTGCAATCGACCAAGCTTTGAGGAATCTTCGACAATAGGTCTGCCCGACCATTCTCTCCTCGAGGAATTTGTATTAGTTCGAACGAATCGAACTCCTCTCTCAGCTTCTTCATCTCATCCACATATTTTTGCATCCGATCCTCCTTGACTTCAAACCCTTCTTGAAACTGCCCAACCACCAGTTGAGAATCAGAATGCACTTGCAATTTTCGAGCTCCTTCCGCTTTGGCTAAACTCAAGCCCTTAATCATTGCCTCATACTAAGCTTCGTTATTGGATATCTTGAACCCCACTTTAGCAGCAATTTCCAAGTAATCGCCTTTGGGAGAGACAAGGACAATTCCCAATCCTGCCCCGCTTCGGGCCACAGATCCGTCCACAAACAGCTGCCATAACCCCTCTGACTCCTCCTCGACTTTCGTGCCTTCCTGGTTAAAATTAGCCAACACCTTTGCCTTTATGGCCCTCCTCGGCTCGTACATCAAAGAATACTCACTCAATTCGACCGCCCATTTCACCAATCGACTAGAGACTGATGGCTGACCAAGCGTTTCTCCCAGCGGTATATTCGTTCACACCTTTACCTTATGGTTCAAGAAATAAGGTCTTAACTTTCGAGTAGTTACAACCACAGCCAAAGCACACTTCTCGATCTCCAAATACCTCCTCTCTGCCCCCCTGCATTACTCTAATCACATAGTAGATAGGAAATTGCGCTATTCCTTCCTCCTGTAACAACACCGAACTCACAGCCCTCTCTCCAATAGAAATGTATAGCACCAGATCCTCGCCCTGTACGGGTTTAGCCAATTAGGGAAGGTTGGCTAGCACCCCTCGCAACTCCTCGAATGCCTTATGCGCCTCCTCCGTCCATTGGAATTTCGCACTCTTCTTCAATGTTTTGAATAATGGGCCGCTTTTCTCCGCCACTTTCCATATGAAATGACTCAGCCCCGCAATTCGACCAGCTAAGATCTGCACTTCTTTAACATTCGTCGGCGACTTCATCTCCATCATAGCTCAAACCTTCTCTGGATTAACTTCAATACCTCTCTTGGTCACCAAGTAACCCAAGAATTTTCCTGACCTCACCCCAAAAGAGCATTTAGCAGGATTCAGCTTCATCCCATATCTCCGGAATGTTAGGAACGTTTCTTTCAAATCTCGCACATGATCCAACTCCTCCTTACTTTTCACCAACATATCATCCACATACGCCTCCATGTTCCTCCCCAGTTGTTCCTTAAATATTTTATCGACCAACCTTTGATACGTGGCACCCGCATTCTTTAGGCCGAACGGCATGACCACGTAACAATAGGTCCCTCGACTCGTTACGAAACTCACCCGCTTCCTGTCCTCTCTTGCCAAGGGAATTTGATGATATCCCTGGGAGGCATCCATCATGCTCAACTGCTCGCATCCTGCTGTTGAGTCGACCAGCTGGTCAATTCTGGGCAGTGGATATAAGTCCTTTGGGCATGCTTTATTCAGATCGCGAAAATCAATGCCTATCCTCTATTTCCCTTCTGCCTTCGACACCATCACCGTGTTCGACAACAATTCGGGGAACAGGATCTCCTTAATGTGCCCCGCTCCCAACGGTTTCTCGACCTCCTGCTCAACGATCTTGTCCATCTCCGCCCCATGGTGCCTTCTTTTCTGCTTCACCGGCCTCACGCTGAGGTCGATGTTTAGCCGATGTTCGATCACCTCCGCACTTATCCCCGTTAACTCCTCTGCTGTATAGGCAAAGATATCAACGAACTCCCTAACCAGATCGATCAGCCTCGACCGAATAGGCTCCTCCAGATCCTTTCCGATCCTAAACTTCCTCCCTTCACACCCCTCGATCATCTGAATATCTTCGACTTCTCCCCCTGGCTGGATATCCATTTTCTCCTTACCCTTCTCCGGTTTTTGCTTATCCTCCTTTGACCTCGATCCTCCTGGTCGATTAATATCCTCCCACTTTGACTCGGCCTGCCTCTTCGCCAGTTGCTTATTATTGCTGACTGTTGTTTGGTAGCAACTTCTAGAAGTGAGCTGATCCCCGGCAATCTCCCCTACGTTTTCACCCACTGGATATTTGATCGTCATGTGGTACGTGGATACGACCGTCTGGAATGCATTCAAGTTCGTCCGCCCCATGATGATGTTGTAGGACGACTCAGCTCCTACGACCGCAAATCTCACCATGCGCACCTTCCTCAGCTCTCCCGATCCCAATGCCACGGGAAAACTGACCTCTCCCATCGGCATAACTTCTTCCCCGTTAAAGCCGTAGAGTGCCGTGGTCACCGGCTTCAGCTCCTTATTAATTTGCATAAAACAATCATAGAACATAACATCTACCGAACTCTCGGTATCAATAAACACCCTCTTCACGTAAAAGCCTGCAACTTCCGCAGTTATCACTAAAGCATCATTGTGTGGTAAGACCACTCCCTCGGCATCCTCCGCCTTGAAATTTATCACCGGCATGCGAGCCATAATCCCCACCTCCTCTCTCTTCCTCTTCACAGCTCGAGCATGCTCCTTCCTGGCCCTATTCGAGTCACCATCTGTTGGCCCGCCGGAAATCATGTAAATCGTCCCTCTCTTCATCGGGGCGTCTCCTCCATGCCCTCCCTTATCACCATCTCTCCTTGGCTTCTTTCCTCTACCATCTCGACCATCTCCGCTATCTCCCTCCTCATCTTTATCACTCCTCTCCTCCGAGTCCTCCCTACACCTTCTCCTTCCTTTCCCTTTCACCCTATCATGATACACAAATTCTTTCAAATATCCCGCTCGAATCATCCTCTCGATCTCATCTTTCAAATGTCTGCAGTTCTCCGAGGTGTGACCATAATCTCGGTTAAAGCGATAGTAAATATCCGACCTAGGTCGAATTGGGCCTGTAAACCTCGTCTTCGGCCAAGTCACATCCTCACTCGGCATCTTCTGCTCCACGAAATACATTTCGGAAGATAAGCCCACGTGCAGACTAAAGACATATGTCACCGCGATATGGGTCAAGCCCAACTTGGACAAAAGGTACATTTCCCCTATAAAAGGGGGGTAAGGTATTCCTTTCTCTGATGATCTCCATTCATTCATTACTACATTCGCTCCTCATTACATTACTACACTTTCTCTCTCTTAAGTTGAGCACTGACATAGGCATCGGAGGCCCGACGCCGGGGCCACCCCCGGCGTTGGGTTCTGCAGGTACGGAGGCCGGTTCGAGTTGAAGGAGCCCGGGTGAATTTTATTCACTTCATTGGCGCCGTCTGTGGGACCTGTCAAAAAGTCAAGCGGAGTCCCGACTGAAAAAATTCGAAAACCTCCTTCTTCTCCACCGGTCGCCGCCACCGCCGGCCACCACCTCCGCCGTCGGTCGCCGGAAAATGAGCTCCGATCAAAAAATGGTTGGCACCACCGGATAGATCTCTTCGAGGTGAACCTACCCTTAAAATTTCGTGCAAAAATTCCTCCGGGAAGGCCATCAATTTTGCGGTCAAAGTTTCCAGATCTAGTGAAATTTTGGTCAAAGTCAGACATTCAAATGCATTTTCCCGATGATCCGGGAAGGCTATGGAAAATCCGAGGGTACCACCAGAATCCTCTCATCGAGACGAATCTCCAGATACCGATCTTCGCTGAAAACCGCCACCCCCGCCGCCGTCCGCCGCCGTCCCCGCCATCGGCCGCCGACTAAAGTCCGCCGATCTGAAAATTTTTACACCATCACGAAGCTCTTCTCGTGTTCTTTCTACCCTTAAAATTTCAAGAAAAAAATCATCCTGGAGGGTTGTCGATTTCGTGGTCAAAGTTTGTGGATCTTAGAGATATTTGGTCAAAATAAGGTTGTCTTCCCCAATTTGCTGTGGGTTTCAGGCGGCTCTCTGCGAAGCTGTGGAACCACAAGAATAACCTCGTAGAGGAGAGCGCGTGTACGTCTACCATCACCAGATATTCTTACCAGAATGGGGTCAGGTTCGCTCGGAGCCTTGTAGCTCGCCACCCTGCTTGTCGGAGTATTTTGCAGGCTTGCTTCGACCATTTTTGCTGCTCGACTTTCGCTGCTCGAAGGTCTGCCGTGTAGCTTGAGCAGATTGCAGGCTCGACCAAGTTGCAGACTCGACCATTTTCGCTGCTCGAAAATTACAGCTCCGACCATTTCTGATGTGCTCAAAAATCACTGCTCGAAAACCACCCTATGTGCTCGAAAACTAGTTGGGCAGCTCGATTAAGTGGCAGATGAACTCGCCCATCCGATGTGCTCAAGAATCCACCGGGCAACTCGATCAGGTCGTAGATTAATTCGAAGTCCCCCGGCCGGGACAGTTTTTTCGCCGGAATATTCTCGAGGCTGATCGGAATTTCTCCACGATTCGACCAGGCCCAAGGGTCGAGGTCTGTCGCTCGCTCGACCAGATTTCTCTTCATCCCTCGCTTGACCAGATTTGCAGATTTGCTCGAAATTTTGCCGCGTTTCGCCGGTTTGCAGACTTGCTCGTAATTTGCAGATTGGCTCGTAATTTCGTCGCGTTGAAGAAGCCTACCTTTTGTTACGGCCCGCTTTCCCCTTACAAGCGTCGGCTCACTTGGCCAGCACAGCCCGTACCCAACTCGCGAGGGCCCGCGTGCAGCCCGCTTTCCACAGCCTATGTTCAGGCGCCCCACGGCCCATTTTGATGGCCCAAATTGCTCCCAGCGGTCCAGCAAGCTTGGCAGCAGCCCAATGCACCCCCCAACAGCCACTCAGTAGCCCAGACTACGCCCAAACCATCTAAAGATGGTCCAAATCAGCCAAGCTCGGTCCAACAACCCTATTCCGTGCCAAGATTAATTCGTGATGTTTCAACGGGGACGGTAAGTTAATTTTAGATAGCACTGTCATGATGGAGGTATGAAATTGATTTTAATATGGATTTAAAGATTTAAATTGGTGATATCGACATGTTCGAGATGGTATTTGACTCGATCGTAATTGATTTATACATGGAGGATTATTTAACTTGCTCATGGAACATTATATGTTTTACTTGGGGAGAATTATGTGGCTAATTCATATTTGGAGACTTGAGGATTTTTAATCGGTGAAAATTGGATAAAATAATGTGATTGCTTCGTGGTTATATTTGATTTGATCGAGGAAATATTGATTTATTTGTGGAGCATCATAGGATACATTTGTGGAATTTATTTGATGTGGAAATTACGGGATGGATTCGAGGAGATTAGTGGACTTATTTGTAAAACTATTTGATCTATTCATAGAGGATTATTTTATTTGCTCGTGAAAATATTTGATTATTGGATTTGCTCGGGAATATATGTGATCTGTTGGAGCACTATTTCAATTATTCGAGGAGATTGTTTGATTTGATCGAGGAGTGTACGTGATTTGTTCGTGGACATTATTTTCCTTTGTCGAGGAGATACTATTTGGTTTATTTATGGAGGATTATTTGATTGGATTGCGAAATTATCTGACTTGCTTGAGAACATGGATTATATTTATATAATTGGATATCTTTATGCACTTGGACCATTTATTTGGATTTTCGTGTGGAAATGTGGAATTGTGTCGAATTGATTATTCATAATCTTTAAACATGTCATCGCTCGAGCATGTCTTAAGTCGAGGAGATGGTGATATTTATATTTGGTCTCTTGTTTTTGTTGCGTGGAGCCTTACAAAACGGATAACTTGACTATAATGTGGATAATGATATTTCTCTGAATTCTTGTCGAGGAAACAACGAAATAACCCGAGTCTGGACGAGCTATGGTGGACGAGCATAGATCCATAAAAGGTGGGTGATAACGAAGGAAGAGCATGGATGATGTCGATCACCGGTAGCAATCTCAAAAGGAACAATTCATTCTCTTTTGGAGAGGTAAGACAAGTTGGAGTGGCATTCTCGACCTTCAGGTACAAAACTATTCTCAACTCTTGTTCGGTGGTCATGTTTGACCGACACGTGGTTTATGGACACATGGAGTCTTTTAGCATTATTTTTTGGAGAAATGGTAATTGTTTAAATATTTTGGGCGAAATTGATGGGACATGGTGAGATATATGGATACGTTTGAGATTATTATTTGGATAACTAACAAAACGATCGAGTGTTATTATATCTTGTTGTGTTCGATCTTTTCCTTTTCGACCTCAGTGGCAGGTCCAGGAATTCGAGCACAGGTCATCAGGCACAACCAGGAAAGGGAGGTCAAATACATTTTATATCCTTTATCTCGTTCGATGCAATTATACATTTGAGGACACTAACGAAAATGATCGATTACTATCCTATCTTGCTGTATTTAGTGTTTTTCCCTTTGACCTCAGTGGCAGGTCGTCCGAGTGAAGAAAAAAAAGCCCTTCGTTTTTGGAACACTCCGCTCAAGAGGTGGGCGAAGGTCGCTTGCTTTCGGTACATTCCTTGGGGTGGGCAGGTGGTCACAAAAGTCTATGCCTCCTGGCTGGACGACCACCATGTTTTCGGAACATCCCTTGGGGTGGGAAAGTGTCAAGAAAAAAGTCCCTCATTTGTGGAACATCTCTGATCCCACGATAGGGGTGGGTGAGTGGTCGCTCATTTTCGGAACACCCCGCTCAACGGGTGGGCGAGTGTCAAGACCAAAGCCCTTCGTTTTTGGAACACTCCACACAACGGGTGGGCGAAGGTCGCTTGCTTTCGGTATATTCCTTGGGGTGGGCAGGTGGTCACAAAAGTCTACGCCTCTGGGCTGGACGACCACCATGTTTTCGGAACATCCCTTGGGGTGGGCAAGTGTCAAGAAAAAAGTCCCTCGTTTGTGGAAAATCCCTGATCCCACGATAGGGGTGGGTGAGTGGTCGCTCGTTTTCGGAACACCCCGCTCAAGGGGTGGGCGAGTGTCAAGACCAAATCCACTTGTTTTCGGAACACCCCGCTCGAGGGGTGGGCGAGTGGTCGCTCGTTTTTGGAACACCCCGCTCAAGGGGTGGGCGAGTGTCAAGACCAAATCCACTTGTTTTTGGAACACCCCGCTCGAGGGGTGGGCGAGTGGTTGATCCTAGTGTTGGGTCGTGAAGACTTGGAGCCTATCGGAGACCTCAGAGGCAGGTCGATGATTTACACTTGGTTCTATTTGATCTGGTATTACTATATACTTATGCATCTAACCCGAATAGCAGGTCGATCAAACTCGCTACAGATAGCTCGAGCAAGATAATGGATTCAGTGGATTTGGTTTTGTGGTATTTTGTTTCTAACCCCAATGGCAGGTCGATAATATTCTTTTTGCTCGAGCAGGTTGTTTATGGATTCTAGTTTGGTTGTTCGTTGATCCTAGTTTGTCGAATTCGTCTTTTTTGACCTCTTTGGCAGGTCGAGTATATTCATTTTGCTCGAGCAGGTTGTTTGCGGATTCTGGTTTGGTTGTTCGTTGATCCTAGTTTGTTGAATTTGTCTTTTTCGACCTCTTTGGCAGGTCGAGTATATTCATTTTGCTCGAGCAGGTTGTTTGTGGATTCTGGTTTGGTTGTTCGTTGATCCTGGTTTGTCAAATTTGTCTTTTTCGACCTCTTTGGCGGGTCGAGTATATTCATTTTGCACGAGCAGATTGTTTACGGATTCTGGTTTGGTTGTTCGTTGATCCTGGTTTGTCGAATTTGTCTTTTTCGACCTCTTTGGCGGGTCGGGTAATATTCATTATGGCTCGAGCAGGGCAGGTAGATGAGATTCATTACGACACAAGCAGGTTGATGGGTTTTTGCTTGGTTTGGTCTTGTCGAATCTATTTTTCGACCTTGGTGGTAGGTCGAGGAGTTCATTCAGAGCAATCCACGAAATCAGGTTGTTTTGGTTTTGAGAGGATATACAACAGGCTTGAATTTTAAATTCTGAACTGAGGGGAAATAGGACGAGGGGGTATAAGAGAGCTCGAACATGGTGATCGAAACACAACAGACGTAAATTCAAATTTTCAAATTCAAGATTGCAGGGAGTGGTCATTCAGTTTATGTTTTTCGAGCACATCAGCAATTATCAGTGGTCCTTCGGTTTTTGGTTCTCGTTTTCAGTGGCATTGCGGTTCTTGTTTTTCGACCACATTTGTAGTCTCTTGATTCTCGGTTTTCGACCTCCGCGGTCTCGACGCTCGATTTTCGACCTCCGCGGTCTCGACGCTCGGTTTTCGACCTCCGCGGTCTCGACTCTCGATATTCGACCTCCACGGTTTCGACGCTCGGTTTTCGACCTTTGCGGTCTCGACTCTCGATATTCGACCTCCACGGTCTCGACGCTCGGTTTCCGACCTCCGCGGTCTCGACGTTCGGTTTTTGACCTCCGCGGTCTCGGCGCTCGCTTTTCGACCTCCGCGGTCTCGACTCTCGGTTTTTGACCTCCGCGATCTCGACTCTCGATATTCGACCTCCACGTTCTCGATGCTCGGTTTTCGACCTCCGCAGTCTCGACGCTCGGTTTTCGACCTCCGCGGTCTCTGTTGGTGTTATATACTTAAGCTTTGCTTTAGTGGATATTACACTTGTTATTCCTTGATGAATGAGAATTATGTTTGGTTAAATAAGTTCCACGTTCTGTTGTT